AAGGGAGGAGCGGGACTACTAGAGGGCGGAACACCAAGAACCTGCTCAAGGAGCAGAACGAAGTACGACCGCGGCCGCGCAGTGCCCTCAGAAACAGCAGGAACAGCACCAGTACCCCCAATGGCAGCACCAGCGCCAGCACCCCCAACGACAGCACCAGCGCCTATAGCACCCCCAGCGCGAGCAGCGCCAACACCAGCAGCTCCAGCTCTAGCTCCAGCACCGCCAGTAGCTCCAGTACAAGGAGCACCCCCATGCCAAGCAGCTCCAGTACCTCCAGTACGAGCACCTCCGTGACCTAAGGCACCAGCACCCTCAGCAGCAGCAGAACCTCCAACTCCAGTGACACCTCCAGCTCCAGCAGCATGGCTCCAGCGCCGAGCAAACCACTCGCGCAGATCCTGGGGAGAAAGAAGCTCCCGCTGGGACGAAGCACCCGAAGGACCACCAGACCCAACACGAGCAGGCCCAGTACCCTCATGCTCCGCACCCCCAGCCGCAGCACCCCCAGGCTCAGCACCCCCAGGCTCAGCACCCCCAGAGTCAGCACCCCAAGGCTCAGCACCCTCAGAGTCAGCACCACCACACCCCGCACCCACAGGCCCAGCACCCCTAGCAGCACCAGAGTCAACAGCTTCCTCGAAAGGCTCGACCGCGTCTACCTGGAACACCCCTGAGGAGGCAGGACCTTGAGGGGGAAGGGGGTCTACCGGGGGGGGGACCTGGCACGAGGAAAAGCGGCGGCGGGGGGAGGGGTGCAGCGTGGTGGGGGAAGAGACGGTAGTAGGGAACCGACTCGTCAAACGTGACGTGCTGGGAGGACAGAACACGCCGCGAGGTGGGGTGGTAAAACTGCCAACCATGCGCGTCAGGGGGGAAGCCAAGGAAGACGCACGGAACCGTACGGGGGGACAGCTTGTCCGCAGACAAGTCTCGAACAAACGACCGAGATCCCCAGACACTGAACGCGGAAGCATCACCAACCTTACCCGTCCACCGCACTGCAGAGTAGGGGAGGTCTCCGGCATGGAGACCCGGGGCTGAAGGTTGATCTGATGCGCCGCGTACTGAATCGCGAACGGCCACAGAAAATGGGGAGCAGCCGCATGGATCATGGACGTACGAGCGACATCCATCACCATGCCAATACGGCGCTCAGCAATCCCATTTTGCTGTGGAGAGGTCAGAAGCATGAACATCTGGCGGATGCCTCGTGCACGACAGTAGGCTCGCAGAAGGTCAGAGGAAAACTCTCCGCCTCTGTCAGAGTGCAGACGCAGAACAGGAAAGTCTGAGCCGAAACTCTCTCTGAGCTGGAGACGAGCTGCGCGGATCTAGTCGATCAACACCCCCGTGACCTCACCCTTGGTGCGCAAGGGGAAGACGGTGGTGTAACGCGAGTAGTCGTCAACCAACAGCAGGAAGTAACTCTCGTGACCCTGCCCATGGACGTGGGCTGGGCCCCATACGTCCATGTGAAGCGTCTCCAGCGGAGCCTCTGTCTGAGGAAACTCGGAGGAGTGAGGAGCGGCGCACTGCCGCCCCTCGACACAGGGGACGCAGGTAGGGGCAGGCCTCGGAGGAAGGGGAGGGAGGGACCGTGGGAGACCAGAGACAAGGACACGGGAGGCCATGCCTCGGAGATGAGGCAGGGAGGGGTGACCAAGGCGGTGGTGCCAGAGGAGAGTCTGGTGAGAAAGGAGACGACACGAGCAGGGGGCAGACTCGGGACCAGACCTGGACGCTGCTGCAAACACCTGACCTGACGCAGCTACCTGACCAGACTCAGCTCCCGGAGGAGACTCAGCAGTCAGGGTGTATAGGCTCGACCCCGGTTGACGGGTAAACGTGGCCAAGTGTCGGCCCGTCCGAGCACACGTACAGTGGGTCACCCGCTGACTCGCAGGAGTGAACTGGTGAACCCCTCCATCCTGTAGGTCAGCACCACTCACCAAGTTCGTAGAGAACGAGGAGAGGTAAAGACCTGACAGGGTGCCAGAAGGGGCCGCCAGACACGGTAAGACAGTGGAGAAGCGGGCAAGGACACGACCCCCAGAGGGGTCTGCCAGAGAGACCGCCACTGGCCGACGAAGCGGCATGAGTGTGGTGCGGTCTCGAAAGAAGGAGAGGGAAGCACCCGAGTCAAGGGTGAAGGTGTGACAGGCCTGAGCCAACGTGGTACATGAGAGAGCAGACTCACCAGCACCTGGGGCAGCAGACGCACTAGCACGTGGAGGAGCACCCTCACCAGCACCTAGAGCAGCAGCCTCAATACCCGGGTCAGGCGGGACACACAGGTAATAGTCACCCTCATCACTACTAGACACAGCATACATGGCAGCAAGAATAGCATCAGATTCTAGATCAAAGATAGCAACCCCCGACCTAAACAGCTCGCCCCAGCGAGGGATCTCAGAGGCATCCGGGAACTAGAGACGCCAATTGTCCGTCAGGCGGCCGAAGCAGCGCTGGGTGGACTGCGGGCCCCCGCACTGCTCACCAGTGCGGTTGCCAGTACGCAGGATGTAAGTACAGGGACCAGCACCCCCACCCCGCTGACGCGCAGCGTACCACTCACGAAGCTGCTGAGGAGAGGGGGTCTCACGAGCGCGCTGCTGCTGCTGTTGGCGCTGACCACCACCGGAGCCTCCCCTCTGCGCAGAGCCACCCCGACCAGCGCCACCGCCGCCGCCGCCACCTCCACTACCGCCGTCACCGCCGCCTCCTCCGCTCCCACCGCCACCGCCACCGCCTCCTCCGCCTCCACTGCCGCCACCGACGCCCCCACTCTCGCCACCACTCCCACCACCACCACCCCCACCCCCTCCGCCGCCTCCACCGCCACCTCCACCGCCCACACCAGCTCCTCCAGCGCCCTTTCCCCCCTTGCCCTTGCCTATGCGGCGTCTCCCGCTGGGGGCAGACGTCGCGCCGACCAACTCAAGACCAACGAGGTCGGCTGCAGCAGCAGAGGCAACAGAGGGCAAGAGGGGGGAGGGGGAACACCCCTTAAAGAAGGGGGTACGAGGGTCACCATGAGAGGCTCCTACAGCGACTATACTCTTCTCACCTGCCAGGAGGCGCTCCTCGAGGAGGTCAACAGTGAGATTGGTGGGGCAAATAGAGAGGAAGTGGTCCCTGACCGAGCGAAGGGAGTCAGGGAGCCGGGTGACTATGTAGTAGAGGGTGACATACATGGGGGGGGGGGGGGGGGGGTTCTTGGCGTAGAACTCAGCAGGAAGCACAGCACGGTAGCGGGTGTAACTAGTGCGAAGGTGCGTAATGAGGTCAGCGACTATGGGAAAAGCGGCAAGGTCAGGGAACAGGTACGGCAGCATGAGGCGGCTAAGGGCAGCAGTGGCAGGGGAAGAGTAGCGTGCAACTACAGGATCGTACAAGGTCTTAGCACTCTTGTACTGACTAAAATGCGCACGCTCAGAGGTCGGTAAGTGACGGCGCACAGCAAGACGGGCAGCAGCATCGCGTGTGGCCCACTGTGAGCGAACAGTGCTGTCAGCATCAGCAGCAGGGGCAGGAGAGGCACCAGACGTGAGGTCAAACAGGGAGAGTCCGTCTGTCCTATCGCACTGTAGGAAAAGCTGTAGATCATCGACCCAGACCTCAAAGTCGACAGCCCGACCCTCAGCATCAAAGGTAAGAACAATAGGGGTAGCCATGGCAGTAGTAGGCTAGCTGCAGCGCAGTGGCAGAGGCTCTTACCAGGCGGGTGGGTAGGTCCGAGGCGCGCCGGCAGGAAAAGGGCCGCGACTGCAGCGACGGCGGGCCTCGATTGCGGCGGCGGCGGCAGCTGCTGCTGCGGCTCGGCTGCGGTGGCGGCTTGTTGGTGGCGGCTGCAGCTGCGGCTGCGGATCGCCTGTGGCGGCGGCTCGGCGGCGGCGGCTCAACGGCGGCGGCGGCTCGTCGGCGGCGACAGGGCCGGTAGTGGCGGCGGCTGCAGTCGGCAGCGGCGGCGGCTGCACGGCAGAAGTGGCCGCTGCTGCTGCTGGGGCCTGGAAGGGCGGCAACGGGGCCGTAAAGGGCGGCGACGGGGATGCTAAGGGCGGCGACGGGGCCGCGAGGGGCGATGACGGGGCCGCTGAGGGCGGGGACGGGACCGCTAGGGGTGGCGACGGGGCCGCGAGGGGCGGCGACGGGGCTGCTAGGGGCGGCGACGGGGCTGCGAGGGGCGGCGACGGGGCCGCTGAGGGGCGGCGACGGGGCCGCGAGGGGCGGCATCGGGGCCGCTAGGGGCGGCAACGGGGCCGCGAGGGGCGACGACGGGGCTGCTAGGGGTGGCAACGGGGCCGCAAGGGGCGGCGATGGGGCCGCTGAGGGGCGGCGACGGGGCCGCGAGGGGTGGCGACGGGGCCGCTGAGGGCGGCGACGGGGCCGCTAGGAGCGGCGACGGGGCCGCTAGGAGCGGCAACGGGGACGCAAAGGGGTGGCGACGGGGCCGCTAGGTGGCGGCGACGGGGCCGCTAAGGGTGGCGACGGGGCCACTAAGGGCGGCGACGGGGCCGCTAAGGGGTGGCGACGGGGCCACTAGGGGCGGCGACGGGGCCACTAAGGGCGGCTAAAGGGCCGTGTAAGGGCAGGGGACGCGACGGGAGGGCGGCCCACGGGGCGCGCCTCGGGCAGGGGCGACTCGCGCTCTGGGCAGATAAAAAAACAATTTATCGATTTTCAGTGGTGGGCCCTAGGAAGCGTTCCCACTAGGGAACCTGCTCTGATACCATGTGAAGTTTAGAAGGAGGAATGAAATTACTATGAAACAGGTGGGTACAAAATCGAAACCTACAAGGGTTGTACCCCATAGTATCTACCCCACTATAGCCTACAAAGACTATAGCCCATAGACTTTGACAAGGACGAGGACGGTGGACCTGTCAACGAAGGTTCGCGTTTGTGTAACATAAACGTTACTCTTTACAACGACGGCACATATTGTTGCAACTTCATGCTAATAAAATTAACGCGCATTGTTCTGCTAATATACCTGTATGTTTGACTTCGCAGTTGGGTCAGGAGGCAAGCGCGCAGGCCAACGCGGTGGACGTGATGACCGTAGCGGTAAGGCTGCGGCAGATCCTGGAAGTCCATCAGGCTGCCAAGGAATGGCTTTGGCACGTGGCGACGAGGAGGAACATGCCGAGCTTGAAGGTCGCGGTGCTGGAAAACGCAACAGCGCCAAGGCGGCGGCGGAAAAGGGCAGTTATGAGGGCAAGCACTCGCAGGATGTGGCTGGTGGTCACGAGCAGGCGCATGCTGAGCTTAAAGGCCGCGGTGGAGGAAAACACAACAGCGCCAAGGCGGTGGCGGCAAAGGGCAGTCCCTCGGGCAAGCACTCGCAGGATGTGGCTGGTGGCGACGAGTACGCGCAAGCTGAGCTTGAAGGCCGCGGTGGTGGAAAATGCAAAAGCGCCAAGGCGGCGGCGGCTGTGCTCAGTCTCTCGGGCAGGCACTCGCAGGATGTGGCTGGTGGTGAGGAGCAGGCGCTGCCCAAGCCAGTCTTTGAAGGTATGTGGTTCCCCCTTTCCCTCTCTGGTTGTTTTTTAGAATTCCGTCCACGTATATTGTTACAAGGTGCACCAACAACTATGTCGATGGTGAAATGACACCTACATTGTCCCGATTTTTGTTGCTTTCGCAGTAGGGATAGCAAACAAGCGAGGTGGTGGCGGTATCAACCATGACGAGGATGAGCCTGGAGCAGTGGCTGATGGGAAAGAGCATGGACGTGAAGCTATGATCGCGTACAAACGACGCAAATATGTGGACTCGGGCGGTCGCGACCAAAAAGCAAGACAAGCTCGATAAGGCCCGAAAAGATATGTGTCGAGCTCGTCGGGTTCGGAGGAGGGATCCAGCGACAGTGAATCGGGCAGCTCATCTGGGAGTGAGGAGGTATATGAGGACGAGGATGACGAGGAGGAGGAGGAGGAGGAGGAGGAGGAGGAGGAGGAGGAGGAGGAGGAGGAGGATGAGGAGTTGGAGCCGGAGAGCGAGGATGGGGAGGAGGCTCGGCCTTTGAAGAGGAGTGTGCGGAAACCCAAGAAGGGCAACGAGAAGTGAAAATCGGAGAAGGGACGAGTGAAGAGCTGTAAAAGGAGTGTGCGTTGTGCCAAACCACCTAGCAAGAGCCACAGACCTTGATCCGTAGCTAAAATTATGGGTGTGCGTCCTAAGGCGAAGCGGGAGTTGGATTTTTATGAGTCCATGGGTCTACGAGGTCCGTCAAGCTCTTACGGCCGGAAAGCCGCGGGGGGGCTGAAGCAGAAGAATTGAGATGACCCGTACGCTGCGTTACGTGAGCCAATGGATTCGCCTGAGGAGAGAGATCCAATGGCTTGGGGGTCATCGCGTTTTAGCAAGGAAGCGACGGACCCGCCTGCAAAGCATACGCGGGGTCACGCAGTTCATGTGAAAATCGAGGGGGCAACGAAGCGGCACGAACCCTCGGCCGCTGCAGCAGCCAATGACGGTGTGGGAGGAGGTATGTGGGCGAATGCCTTGGGTGAATATGGCGGCGGTGTGTAAGGCTCCATGTGGGATGTACGAGAAAGCAAGGGAGAAGGAGGAGACGCGAAAATGGAGCCGGCGACTAAGGAGGGGAGGGGAGAGATCATGGGTACACCTGGCGCATCCATTCGGCCCGATATGGCTGGCGGCAAGACTCAGGAGTAGCTCTTGCGAGAGCTTGCTCAGCGGGACCGCGAAATTGCGGAACTCAAGGCAAGGCCAGGATCCAAAGGACCAGTCAAACCCTGCACCCCTCCGTCCAGGCCTCCTCCTCTGGCGTCCATGTCGAGCGGCCCACCTGCGGAGGGACCCGGTCCAGGCGTGGCGCCAGAAAGCCCAGCGACGGAAGATGTACCGGTCCGTCGAACGCGTGGGATGCCCACACCCAAACAGCTGAAGGTGAGTATGTTTTTGTGCTTGGCAATGGGTGGCATGGGGCTCAGTGATAGCTGCAGCCCTCTCTCTCAACCCCTTGTTTCCCCCCCCTCTTTCTGCTGGTTAGCGTGTTGGTGGCATTATGCGCAGTGATAGCGGCATGGCTGCAGTGGGATAGGCACTCCCAGTACGACTCGCTTCAGGGAGGTGGCGCTGGGCATACGGTGCTCTCACACTCTGCCCCCTCTCCCCTATCTCAAGCCCCCTCTCCCCTATCTCACCATAACAGTTCTCTCTCTCTCCCTCCCCCCTCTCTCCCATCCCTCCCCTACCTCTTCCAGAGCCCCTGTTCATGGTGCTGGAGAACATGGGAGGTGGCGCTGGGCGTACGGTGCTCTCACACTCTGCCCCATCTCCCCTCTCTCACCAAAACAATTCTATCCCTTCTCCCTCCCCCCTCTCTATCCCATCCCTCTCCCTCCTCTTCCAGAGCCCTTATAAACGGTGCTGCTGGTAGCACGGGTGGCATGCGGCGCAGTGATAGCAGCAGCCCTCTCTGTCAACCCCACGTGACCCCCCTTCTTCCCGCCGCTCCTCCCTCCCCTTTCTATCCCATCCCTCCCCCTCCTCTTCCAGAGCCCTTCTAAAAGGTGCTGCTGGTCGCGCGTGTGGCATGCGGGGCAGCGTGGGATAGGGGTGGCTGCAATGGGAGTTGAGACTCCCAGTACGAGGAGAACATGGGAGGTGGCGCTGGGCATACGGTGCTCTCGCACTCTGCCCCCTCTCCCATATTTCACTCTGACTATTTTCTCCCCTCTCTCTCCCCTCTCCCTCCCATCACTCCCCTACCTCAGCCAGAGCTCCTGTTCATGGTGCTGGTGGTGGTGTGGGTGGCATGCGGCGCAGTGATTGCAACAGCCCTCTCTCTCAACCTCTGAATTCCGCCTTTCATTCGGACTCATCATTCATTTTTTTCTTTTCCAATCCACCCGTCCGTCATATATTCATTTCGCCAAGGGGCAGGACCGGATGTGCCTCGAAGCGCCAGACCATACCATAGACTTCTACCCAACGCTCGAACAGCGCCTGCAGGTTTTGTATCAAGTTATCAGCGAGACACACATCATCAACATGATGCAGCTGCGAGAGGCTATGGAAGACAAAAGCATCGTCGACACTTTTAAACGCACCTGGACGTCATGGATTATCGAACGTGGCTTCCACCTCAAGCACGAAGTGCTCGTAACTTTTGGCAAGAAGGTGGAAGGCCTTCATGCAGCTGATCTCTCACTTGGCACCAAGAAGGAGCGGAAGATGTTGAAGAAATACCATCCGAGTGAGTACTTACTTGCGTTACTGTTTTACTTCCCCTATTGACATGTCTGCTTATGCACCCCTCGTGCATGCCCCACGATGATGAAGTACATAACCCTAATGCATCCCCACTTTGGCACGCAACTACATGCCTGCTCTCCTTGCCCAAGCTTGTAGAGCATGTGCAAACACATCATGACAGCCATACGTTGGTTCTTCTCCCACTCTCCCCTTCTCCCACCCCCCTTTTATCTCCCGCCCTCCCCTTCTCTCCCGCCATCCCATTCTCTCCCGCCCTCCCTTTCCCTTGCGCCCTCCCCTTCTCTACCACCCTCCCCTTCTCTCCCGCCCTCCCCTTCATCCATACCCTTTGGACAACCCTTAACCATGTCATGCATGATCACGCATGTCACATGCTGCCCCGCATTGTCATGCATGCCCACAGGAGGGAATCAGCGGGTCAGCTCGTGGGGGAACAACAGAGAAGGGCTCCCGTTCACCAACGGCCGGTTTGTAGATGCGGTCCGGGAATCATTTCGGGATTTCTGTGTCGGGCGCCGGGTGTGCGTCAAAGCCTAGTACCACATAGCCTGGTCAATCATGGTGGTAAGACATTATTGCTCAACCCATGGTATGCTCTAGCTTTGCATGCTATTATAGCACCCCGACATGGTATGTGGGGCTATTTGCGAAGCCAGTAAACTCTATGCGAGTGCGTCCACTAAAGTCTCATGTTCCCTCCTTCCCATACTTTGCTATGCTATTTCAGATTGACCAGGGCTTGTCAAAGGTTAAGACTGACTTGTACATCTCGAACTCCCACTGGAAAAACAGTGAATGGATGACGGGTTTGCACCGAAATTTGCGGAGGATTATCAAAGACCACTTTAGATGCCACACCCCCGTGTACAACACAGACATGCAGGGCTTCAAGTGGGGCGACAGTGGGCTGTATGTTCACGAGTCGGCGTTCTGGGGGACGGCCGAGCCTGATGATGAGAAGAAGGACCTGAAGGAGGAAGAGCAAGAGGTGTACGACACTGAGGACATGGAGACGGATGACGAGGAGGTGGAGGAGGAGGAGGAGGAGGAGGAGGAGGAGGAGGAGGAGGAGGAGGAGGAGGAGGAGGACGACGACGACGACGACGACGATGACGAGGAGGCGGAGCTGACCGAGGAACCGCAGGAGACCGCGGGAGGCCGCGGACAACCGCGGGACCGCGGGAGGCCGCGGGAGGTTGCGGGAGACCGCGGGACCGCGGGAGGCCGCGGGAGACCGCGGGAATGCGGGAGGCCGCGGGACCGCGGGAGGCCGCGGGAGACCGCGGGACTGCGGGAGGCCGCGGGACCGCGGGAGGCCGCGGGGCCGTGGGAAGCCGCGGAAGGCAACCACGGGATCACGGGACCGCGGGGACCGCGATGGGCGCTGGTGGACGACCGGGGGCCACGGGGGCCGCGGGATACCCGGTCGACCAGGATACCCAGGCGACGTGGGTGAAAGTCGCCGGGGGTGTTCTCTGTGAGGACGACCTCGGGGGTGGTATCCCGAGGTCGACGTGGCTGGTGGGCGCCGTCACGGGTGGAGTGTCTGCGCTGGGCATGTGATGGGGAGTTGGACGCCAACCAGCTGCACGCACCTGCGAAGCAGGTGCACCGGTGTCCCGCGGATGCAACGCTGTGCAACCGACTTACTCCAGCATTGGCACACCGCGGACTGGCAACGTTGGCAAGCCGCGACTCCGCTCTGCTGGAGCGCGGTCGACCAAGTCGTGCTGGCACGCGGTCGACCGTGCTGCGCTGGCAGTCGACCAGCAGCCTTGCTAGGTCTCATGTAGTCTGTGTTGCCAATGTTGATGCAATCATTCTGAACTTTTGTTGTCATGTTTTCATAGTGAAACTCTTACCAATTTTTCCCGTGAACTAGCAAGTAGTGTTAGCACTTGGAAACGACGAAGGAACGAACGAATGCAGAGATCACACGAGCATCCATGCCTAGCCCGTAGTCTAGCTCCCATTGCACTAGTTGTCTCCGCATGGTGCGGTGAGCGTGGACGACACCGCAAAGACACCTTTGGTTTAGCTTACTTCTCACTCACCTAGCTAGTTCGTAGACCAGCGGCTGTGCACAACGCCATGGTTGACCCCGTAGTAGAGGCGGGCGTCGTGGACACCCTGGATGCACGGCTGGAGAACGCGAGGAGACATCATGCGGTGAACGAGTATGGAACTCTCCCGCTGACGGTCGTCGAGGCTGGCATCCGCGCCGTGTGGGCAACGGAGCACCCTTCCCGACTGGTGTCTCCTCGACCGGTGAACAACGCGGGCGGCGTCGACGCGGGAGTCAACGCCGCAGGTGACCAAGTCGGTAGCAACGCTGGAGGCACATCAAGGCAGCGAGGGGTGATTCACGCCAATGAAGTCGGTGGCGTTCAAGCACGAGGGATGCAGTCGTCCGCGGCTGCAGGGGCCTCGCAGAGCTACGTCGGAGGCAGACGATGTGAATTGGCGCCGATGTCTGCAACGCACATGACCGCGGGAGGAATTGCGCCGATCTACGGCTACTTCAAGTTTACGCCGGACTGGATCTTGGTCACCCCTCCGCTGGTCGGTCGTCCCGACATCCTCACATGGAAGGAAGCCATTGAGCCCCAGCTGGAGATGGCCGGGCTGATGGGCTTCGCCTGCGGAGCCGTGGCAACGCCGGAGGAGCACTACCCCGACCTGCGAGCGGAATTTTGTGCCGTGGAGTTGCTGACCTTCACGGTCATCTTGCGGTGTTGCTCACCAGGCGTACAGATCGCCCTGAAGTCGTGCAGGGAGTACCTCGACGCCGGCCACCGGGCATGGCATTTCATCGAATCAACTTACCAGGTCACCGACGACTTGTTCATCGCCCACCTTGAGGGGCAGTTGACGCACCTGTCTATGGGCGACGTCGAGACCGCGACTGACTACTGCAACCGAGCTCGGCGAATTCTTGCCACCATTCGGATGGCTGGCGCGGAGTACTCAACGGCATTGTACGTTACACACGTCATGCAGAGACGTCCCGAGCAGCTACAACCTGCTGAAGCGGCTGTCGATGACACCGAGCATGCGGGCGACGCTCAACGAGGACACATTGACCTCTTACATCCTGCAGGTTGAGGCGATGTAGGAGGCTAAGCGGTCCTAGGAGCTCCTCGCACAAGTGAACTACGTCGCCCCGGTGAAGCAAGGGGGTTGGCAGGGACAGCGCGGGCAGTCTGGTGGCAATCACCACGGTGGCGGGAAGCCGGGGAAGAACGCCAACAAGCAGAAGTCGGCCAAGGATGGCGGTCGTGGAGGAGGAGGCCGACGTCGAGAATGCTGGCTGTGTGGTGATCCCGATCACCTCTCCTTCGAGTGTCCCGACCATAGTGACTCGGACGACGACAACACTAGGGGAGGCCGCGGAAGGTCTGGCAGCCGTCATCCGCATCGAGGAAACCAGCCACAAAAGGAGAAGCAATCGACAAAGGACGCCGACTCCTCCGTGGGTGGAAAAGGGCGAGGCGACAAGGAGGCGTCGTGGTCGCTGGTCGGCGTCGTGGAGCCAACTGTCTCGCTGGCGCCGGAGGCTGGCGAGGATTTCCAAGCGGCGGCGGCACTTGTGCAAGCAAACCCCGCGGTGGTCCTGCTCGACAGCGGCTGCTCGCACCACCTGATGGGGACGGAGGAGGCCTTCGTCGACTTGGGGTCGAGCGTCGACGTGAAGCACGTGCGTGGCTTCAATGGGGCGCTGCAAGACGTTCGCGGTCGTGGCACGGTTGCGTTGCAAGGGGAGGCCGGGAAGCGGGTGCTCATCTCCGACGTTCTCTACGTCCCGGGCGTGCAGGCGAATCTGCTTTCGGCTGGCGAGCCGAAGGAGAGCGGGGTGACGCTGAAGGACGACGGCGACCGGATGTTGCTCGTCTCCGCGGCGGGGGACGTGCTCGGTCGAGCAACTTACACCGGCCGGGTCCTCTGCACTAGCCTGCACCCATGCGCGGTAAAGTTGACGACGCCCGTGCAAGAGGAGGTGGCCCTGCGGGCGATAGTCTCGGCGACGAAGGCAACCCAAGACAGGATGCACGCGAGGCTCGCGCATGTTGGCATGGACATCATACATAGCTCGGCAAAGCACGAGGTCGCCACCGGCCTGGACCTCAAGTCGGCGTCTGGCCCCGACTCACTGTGTGTTTCGTGCGTTGGTGGGAAGCTGGCGCAGCACACCTTCCCCGACTACGGCTCCGACGTCGACGACGTCCTGGCCGTCGTGCACATCGACTTGTGCGGGCCATTTCGCGTGGCTGCCAAGGACGGCAGCCTGTACTTCTTGGTGCTGAAGGACCGCAAGACCCGCTACGTGTGGGTGAGGCCGGTCGCCAAGAAATCAGACGTGCTGCTGGAGTTCCAGAAGTGGCTGGTGCTGGTGGAGCAGCAGGCGAAGCATTGGGTGCTGCAACTGCGTTCCGACCGCGAAGGGGAGTTCCTTGGAAAGGACTTCACCGCCTTCGTGGACAGCAAGGGAATCGTCCACGACTTGACCTGCCCCTACACCCCGCAGCAGAATGGGATGGCGTAGCGGGAGATGAGGACGGTGGTGGAGTCGGTGCGGACGATGCTGCTGCACATGGGTGTGCAGCACCACTGGTGGCATCTCGCTCTACGGTGCGCAACTGCCTAGAGCAGTTGTCGCTGCCACCCGGGACAACGCCTTACTAGCTCCTCACTGGGCAGATGCCCGACTTGTCGATGGCGCGGGTGTGGGGCTGCATGGCGCAGTTCCTTGTCCTTGAGCAGCAGCCTGAAAACTGCAGCCTAAGGCTCGGTGGGGCCTTCACCTCGGCATGTCGGAGGAGAGCAAAGGCTGGGAGCTCCTCGACATTGCCGACAACCGGGTGGTCACCACGTCGGTCGTGGTGTTCTACGAAACTCTATCGCTGGAGGTGTGGAAGTCGGAACTCGGGCCAGCGTCGGGGCGGACGCGGGCCACCCCGCCGACGGACACCTCGACGGCGACGCTTCCTCTGCTCGCCGAGGTCGGTGAGCAGGCTGATGATGATGCAGCGGTCGCCCCTACCTCGCCATCCCCTGCCCCTTCTTCCCGTCCCCTTCCCGTCGAACTGCGTGGCCTAACTTCAGTGTCGGCCTCCGGCAATGAGGGGAGCCGTGAGGCGTCGCCTGTGGCGCCAGCCAAGAGCATCGCCGGTGGCCGATGTGACGCCCAGCCAGTCGTGGAGAAGCGGGACGCGGAGGAGACCATGGACAAGACCGCGGAGGAGACCACGGAGGAGCCCGCGGCTAGCAGGCAGCTGACAGGGGAACAGGCAACAGCTAAGCCGACCGTGGAGTAGTTGGCAGGGGAGCTGACGACAGGGGAGCAGTTGGCAGTGTCGCCGACCGTGGTGCACCCGGACGCTGAGGGCAGTAACCGCGGGGGCCGCCGGACCGCAAGGGGGCCGCGGGACCGCGGGACCGCGAGGAGTCCACCAACAGCGATATGGTGGAGGTTCAGCCTGGACCTTGGAAGTCGTGCCGAATTCGGAGGCCACCCGACGTCTTCGTCCCCGCTGCCTTCACCTTGGTGTACAATGTGGACGACAACGACCTGGCGTATGATGAAGCCGAGGACGATGAGGAGTTTTTGGAGCTCGACCCCGACATGCACGCCGATCCGGAGCACCGTTGGGACATCTCGACCATGATGGTGAAGGAGGCGTTCGCGAGCTGGAAGGGCCCGGCGGTGAAGGCCACCATGGAGGAGGAGATCCGCAACCTCATCAACATGGGCACTTGGGAGCTGGCCGAACGCCCGCCGGGGGTGAACATCATGAAGAACCGGTGGGTGCTGACGACGAAGTACCACATCAACAACACTGTCGAGCGCGAGAAGGCGAGGCTGGTCGTGAAAGGCTTCACGCATGTGGATGGCGCTGACTACGACGAGACGTACGCGCTTGTGAGCAGCTACGTCACGCTGATGATTTTCCTCAGCATCATCGCCGTCCTCGACTTCAACTTGATGCAGCTGGACATGAAGAACGCCTTTTGCAGAGCAAGCTCGACCGCGTGCTGTACATGTACCAGACGGACTACTTCAACGACGGGACCAGCCGGTTGTGCAAGCTGTTGAAGAGCCTCTATGGGCTAAAGCAGTCGCTGCTGCTGTGGTACACGGCTCTCAACGACGTGTTGGTTGGCGCCGGGTGGAAGAAGAGCCAAGTCGACGAGGCTCTGTACTTCAAGGTCGGCGACGACAAGGTGACCTGCTGGGTGCTGGTCTACGTCGACGACCTTCTCACCGCGAGCAGCAGCACCGCGATGCTGAAGGAGCTGAAGGAGCTCCTAGAGGCCACCTTCGAGCTGCACAATATTTCGCCGGTGCAGAAGTACCTCGGCCTGGAGATCATGCGCGATAGGTCGGCGCGGAAGCTGTGGCTGCACCAGCAGGGCTACGCCAACAAGCTGCGCAGGTGCTACATCAACGAGGAGCAC